TTTTATAGTTCAGAGGTACTTTGTTTGTATCTTCTCGCATCATAATGGGCCTTTACAACAATTTTCTTCATTGATAAATCAGATTCTGAATTTGTTTGTGATGTACTAGACTCCTGCTGCATGTCAGGGTTTTGGCTGCAACTCTGAAATGCAGAAGAAATTGGTAGAACTCGTTGATATCCTGCTTGTTGAGAATCATTGCTTGTCGATTTCTCGCTCTCTAGCAAGGCGACACCTCTTGGACTCACCGAAATCTCATCAGTATCTTGAGAATGATTATCGGTTATTCCTGATGATGCGCTCCGAGTGTAGTCTCAACCATTCTCTGTTAATACCGTTGACATCTATTAATATTTGCTGATGAATTTCATATCTCGCACTAGCTGTGCAATTCATTTGGGTACAACATTTGATAATGTGATTCCGATATACTGCACGTATTGAATATGAAAAAACATGCCCACCCCGTGTAATACTGATATGAACAGCGGTTGATTGAACTACTTGTTTTAATTAATAGTAATTATTGTCTGTTCCTGAATGCCATTTTGGCCAAAATTCTCACAGTAAAAAGGGTTCCTGTGGAATTTACCGTTCTGTGCGTATTTATATCACAAAATTTAATGCCAAAATACATCAATGAGGACTATAGCACCGCCAACACGTCCATCGATTTTGACACTATGACCGACTTGGTCTTATCGAAATGGCACTTGGCTCAGTTCGAATAATCGTTTGACGAGAATTCTGAGATAATCCTTCGAGAATTCAACAGTAGGAATATATAACTTCTTGCAGACTTGGTCAACGGTAACCCTGCGTTGTTCTCCTTGCTCAAATTGAATGAAATGTCACCACACGATCTGGTGTCAAGGTAGATTGTAAAATGGTGTTACTCAACAATTGTTCCTTCAGTAGATTATAATCTAGATCTGCTACTCGTCCTGTCAACATGTACTGTAATTTGCAGAGTGCTGGACATTAGTCCAGTAGAGCTTTTATTTTGGTATGTAATGGGGTAGACAAATTTTGTAAAGCAGAAACGTAGTTATTCAATAGATCGATTGGAGGTTTCAATTTTGGCTGTATATATTCTGCCCAATGATCAGTACAGCTCACTATACACTCTTCTTCAATCAATCGATTGATTCTATCGTTATCGGTTACAAAATCTGTTGGAGCTGATATTATGATAGCATCGTAGATGCGTTAATTTCTCATGGATTCTACATATTCTAATCTAATCCATGGTGGTTGTTTTACCAAGCACTCCTCTATGAAATACTCTTAGTATTTTCTTTTTGTTTTCCAAATCTTGTAGGGGATTTTTGACTCCTGCTAATAGATGAGAACAACTCAAGTCCTCCCTGTAATTGAGCAGAACTAATAATATAAAATTCCTGATGACTGTATTATTTAACATATGTTCAGTTGGCATATATGCGTGCACGTTTGTCACTGATGGATGGATTTTTTTTTAATTCACATATGCGGCGTTTGGCGGTGCAATGTCCGTGAGAGTAAATACCATATTTTTTCAAAAATGAAATTTCAAACGCTTGCATTACGTTTTTGTTACAGACTATCCCTAACAAGTTCCTCACACTTTTGAAAGAGGTGTATAAATATCCATTTGATGCATTTTGGTGTAATATTGTCACTCCAAAATGCAATTAGATAAAATATATTGATTCATCCATCCTTTACTGAGGATTTCATTAATCCTTATCCTGTGTGAACGTTTTTTCTCATGCCATGTTGGCTTCTATACAAGAAAATGTTTTTCACCGTTGGATATGATTGATTGATTGATTGATTGATTGATTGATTGATTTCTTTATTCAGAAAAATTTACAAAATGAATACATGTTCAACAACATAAATATTCAATGAGTATACATATATTAGATATTTTCAATGCAGGATAAAGAAAAATATGGTCACTAAGGCAGCAGTATGCCAGCGCGTGACTACACTTCCTCACAGGTGAACGAGACTTGTATAAACAATAATATTATACTATATATATGCTTGTTTTTCTATACATTAAAGAGAGTGGAGAAAATCATGAACGAAAAATAGTATAAATGTTTCAAAAATATGTGAATAATATTTGGTTTAAACTCAATCTATACTAAACCACATACCTACATATTATTTGAATCGAAATAACATAAATAAATTCATCAGAATACAGTATTCATATATAGTACGTATTAATGTTGGGTTCAAATTTGAGTGTCCTACCTAATCTGTAATGAATTTTGTAGATTGAATATCAAATGAATACTCTGTTTAATATCGTGATATCAAATGCATTCTTTTTTGAAACGTGCATTTTTGAAATTTTCTATTTTAATGTGTAGAGGGAGTAGGTTGAATATTTTGGGTGCTACATATGAAATACATTTTTGAGAAATTCTTTTGCACTTTTTAGGAATCTCTGCTATGGATTGTGAAATTTGTCTTGTGTTATATTTTTCCATACTAACAGACTGTATTAAAATTATGGAAATATTCAAAAAGACTTTGCATGCATACAGTTTCCCCAATTGAAGCACATTAAGATCTTGATACAATAGCTCAGAAGAATACCTTTGAGTTTTCTGAAGTATAAGTTTTATAGCCCTTTTCTGCAAAATATCCAACGGATTGATTGTACTCTGATAGCTACTTCCCCATGCTAAGATACCGTACTGCAGGATGGATTCAAATAAAGCATGATATACAATTTTCAAGTTTGATTTGTTTATGAAATTTCGCAATTTTCGTAAAATAAATATACTTCTTCGAAGCTTGGATGCAGTTATTTTTATATGTTTATCAAATCGCATGCCTGTATCTAAGTTGATTCCTAAATATTTAATATCTTCAACTACTTCTATTTTTGATGTACAATTACAGATAGGATTCATATCGCCAATGCAATTATTATTGTGTAAGATTATTTCCTTAAAATTTGGTTTTGTACGGCTGTCTATAAAAAATGGTAAGCATTTAGTTTTTTCCCAGTTGAGTGTTAGAAGGTTGGTATCGAGCCAATTTTTTATGATTTTCATAGATTTCTGCATCTTTATTTTTAGTTCTTCCCAAGTTTTTCCGTTTACCAAAACGACTGTATCATCTGCATATGATATGCATTTGCTATTTTCATCATGGTCATATGACTTCATCACTTCGTCTATTTGGTGATCGATTCGTTCTACAGAGTTATCGTTATCTTTAGACATTATATGAATGATTTAATTATTAGAATCTGCTTCCAATTTTACTTTGGCTCCCTGCAAAATTGTCTGACTCAACGGATGCATTCCACCAATAGATCTTCTCAGAATATCTGTGGTAAAAGCTTCAACATTGAAATCGATTGGGTCTTCGTTATCACTGTCATCATCAGAATTAGTCTTGTTATTGATAATTTCTTTTTCAATTCGAATTATACAGTATATACCGTGAACGCCATATCCTCCGGAATGCAACTCGTTTTTCGCTCTTGGCCTGTTAGATTGTCAATGGAGAGAATGTCATAAAATTGGAAAAATGGAAAATAGTGGAAAATTACAAAAAAAAACATTTTCAAAATTAAGAGTTCAAAAACCTACCGAATTAGCTCTTTTTACCTACCCAAAGCCCCTATTCTCCTCCTGTCCCGTTAGTTCGTCAATGGAGAAAATGTCATAAAATGGAAAACTCTTGAAAATAAAAGTCTGGAAAACTCTCAAAATATCTGAAAGTTTCTGGAAAAATTCTGTGAAAATCTAGAAATGATTCATTCGAAAATGATCTGGAGAATCTAGAGAGAATCGAAAGAAATCTGGAAATGATTTGGAAAAAAACTAGGGAAATCTGGTAAAATTTCTGAAAAAATCTGAAAAAAACAGGAATGAATCTGGGAAAAAATCTCGTATATGCGGTAAAATCCGGACAAACATCTGGAAGAAATCTTATGAAATTTTGAATTATCTGAAAAATTCTATAGAAATTCTTGAAAATATCTGGAATTCATCTCGGAATAATCCGGAAAGATTGTGGAAAAACTGAAAGTAATCTGGTAAAAATCTCAAATATGTGGAAAAATCTAGTCGAAGATCTGTAGATATCTGGAAGGTCTGAAAAGAATCTGGAGAAATCAAAAAAAAAATATGGAAAAATCGAAAGAATCTGAAAAAAAAAACTGGAAGTTATCTGGAGGATATCTCGTATATGATTGCAAAATTCTAGTAGAAATCTGGAACAATCTCTGAAATGGAACATGGAAAATTTTGAAAAGTAGAGAGAAACTGCAGTGCTCTTTGGAATCGTCTCGACTAGATCTTTCAATGAAGATCAAATTTGGTCGTAGGTTAGCAAATTTTCACTTTACAAAAAATTGAGAATTTAAAAAAAATCGTCATTACTCGGGAACCGTTGGTTGTAGAGAAAATCTGAGGTGCTCATTGAAATCTTGTCGACGAGATATATAGATCGAAGCTAGTTTTGGTCTTGGTTCAGCGAATTTTCATTTTTCGAAAAATTCGAATTTTCAAATAATCGACATAACTCGGGAACCTTGGGTTGTAGATAGAATCTAAGGTGCTCATTGTTTAAACACTATGTTAGTAGTATTTTGGTTATAACCTAGCCTGACCTAACCTAACGTCGTTTTGGGAAGTTGTATTACATATTATATAAAATTATTAATATGTATCATAATCATGTTCTGCTGTCCAAATTCAAATATGTGTTTGACATGGGTTTTTATTTTATTGTATCTTTAAGTCTATATGATTGTGTACGTATGTGTGTCATGACGTATTCTCTGTAAAATATTACAATGAAAAAATTGATTGATTGACAACCCAACCTTCCCTGATAGTGTGGGGCTCCAGATGGAAAAACTGTATACCCACTTAAAACCACCTCTGTCGACCTCGTCCTTGGAACCATCCCTAGATACATCATCATCATCAAGTACGGGCGGCATTTGTCAGCTTAGTCAATGCAGTACAAAAAAAAATTGCTTATCTTCGCTCCCGATTTGGCAAGGCTCTCACCTCCATTTCTTTTCTCTCCATTACTCGGCGAATAAAAGAATATCCCTCATTCCATCCCTCGGGGCTGCTTATTATTGTTGTAATCAGGTTGTCAGGGTTCAGTGGTTCCCCAAAAGCGAGCTCCACGTGTTGTCGCTCCCGATGCGTCACACCTAAAAATTGTGTGAAAGGGATCGTCCACCTCGGCGCAATAGACGCACCTATCGTCTACAGATTTCCCTATTCTCAGTTACATATAATCCATGCCAAAGCATATCCAGACACCGCCACTGGAGTTCATGTGCCGGATCACATTCAATGATGAACACCTGTAGAAGCTGACTAAGGATTCTTCCCGTTATCTTCCTCATATTTTTGTATTAGTTTGCATTCCGTTCACCTTTTATCTTCCACACCAGAAATTATCTTTGCAACTCTGAAGTATTTTCGTGAAATATCAATTTATTAGTTTTCATTGTTCTCACTGAAGTTATCAAAGGAACGATTTTCATTTTAGACAGGAGTCTTTTTCTGTAAAACTCACCAGCTTATGCTGAATAAAACCACGTTCGAAAATTATTCTTTATTCAGTATCAGAGTAACCCTTTCACTCAAGAAATCTCAATCGAAACTTCTCAGCGTATAGGTCCTGAAAGATCCGTGTCCACTGAGTGCCTGGCTTACGTAGTAACCCATTGTCTATGGTAACACTCCACCCATGGCATTAGGTCCGAGATCATCCGCTTTGTCCACTGGGCGGTCGTTGTGTTTCCATCCCATTGAGCTTGCCATTGTCCAATGGTCCTATCTCTTTCCTCCTTATCTTTCTGTGTGATGATGATGATGTCATGAATGCAGGTTCTTTCTTCAATCATCAGATTTATTGGTCGTATTGCAGTGATCACGCTCAGAGCTTCTGCAGATACCGTCCTGTATGCCATTGCAGTACCCAGTAACATCTTGCACTGGGTGGAAACCATCTTACTTTCGTACTTTTCCACCCTCATTACATGTCCCTATACCGGTGCTGCGTAGAGGAGAATTGATTGTACCACTCCTTACATGACCCATTGCTTAAAAAGCCCCGGTCCTCTAGTGTTTGGAAGGATCCTAGTTAGGGCTGCGACCTGCCTGTGGGCCTTCTCACAAGTCTTCCTGACGTGCTCATTATATATTTATTCGTCGTCTATCCACACCGCTAAGTATTTTATACTTCTTTTCGTGCTATTATAGCGTCTTCCATTTTAAATTGTATATTTTTTCCCTTTCTGGGCTTCCTGACAATAAGTTCTTCAGTCTTTTGTGGGGCAATCTCCAGTCCATGCTCAACTGCCCATCGCGCAATCATTCTCATGCTCTCGTTTGCCATTTCCATCAACTCTGCTCTCTCGTTCGCCGTGACTACTAGTGCCAGATCGTCAGCTTAGGCAACGGTTATACAATTCTTGGCTTCTTCCAAAAGCAGGCTCCCATTATATGGGATGTTCCATAGGGTAGGGCCGCGCACGGATTTCTGTGTTACATCTTGTGTCAGGTTCATCTCCAGTCTGCCACTGCTAATTTTGCGTCCCGTTAGATAGCTGTCTACAACTTGGACTAGATGGTCATTCATCCTCAGTCGTACCAGTTCTTGTTTTATCAGATGCCACTTAGCGGTATTGAAAGCATTCTCTATGTCAATCAGTATGACAGCACTCCATGTCATACGTTCTCGGTTTGCTCTTTCTATGACAAATTTTATCGCACCCACGGTAGACATCTTCTTTCTAAATCCAAACTACGTATTAGCAAAGCCTGCCCTGTCCTCGATTTCCACTACCAGTCTAGCCCTCACCAGGTATTCATATAGTTCACCGAGGCAGTCTAGGAGGCAGATTGATCTATATTTGGCATTTATGCGCGGATCTCCTTCAACCTCAGAAAGACTTTGGGAATCAGCTCTACTGCGCATTTCACAGCTTCCGGAAAAATTCCATCGGGGCCAGGGGATCTTTTTTTCTTCAATTTGTGCACAGCCTGCGTGAGCTGGTGGATTGTGAAAGGTGGTGGGGATTCTCCGTTATTTTCTAGATATTCGAATCCTTCTCTTTCCCCTTCTGGGAGTAGCTTCCGCAGTAAGGTCTCCTTGTGCCCTAGGTCCATGTCGTAGGGAGCTCTGTGGCCTTTCAGCTCTCGCACCGCTATCCTGTATCTCTGACCCCACGAATTATTCTCCAGCTTATCGCACAATAGTTTCCATTTTTCCCTCTGTGCCTTATTAATTTGCTTTTTTTAGCGCTTTCCTCCTGTCCTTGTACTCCTGTTCCTTGGCTGCAATCAGAACGGGCAGGACGTGCATGCAGCGCATTCTAGTCAGCTCTAGTCTAGTCTGGTCCCCTTGCATAGCTCCCTCCTGGTCCCCTTGCATACCTCCCTGCTGGTCCCCTTGCATAGCTCCCTTCTTTCCTGTAAGGCGTTGTTCCACCATATCTGCTGCTCTCTGGCTGTGCCTTCCTTCGTTTGCAGGCATATTCTCTGTGCGCTCCGAATGTTGTTTGTGAGCTCTCCTATGCTGTTGATATTATGGGTGAGTATCTATAGAGTGTATTTGAAGGTAGGAAAGTCCAAGCTCCTTTGCAAGAGATTTTCGTTTTTATTTGTCTTGTGTCCCGTCTCTATCCTGAACCTGATACATATGTGCAGACTCTTGGTTTCCTCTTGAGATACGTGCCATTTCTTGATTTTCCTGGATATATTGTCCGTTGATAGGGTTATGTCAATTATTGAGGCCTGGGCGGCTCTAAATAACGTCGGTTCATTGCCAGTGTTATGTACCGTCATATTCATTTCGCGTATCCAGTCCTCCATGTATTGACCCCTATTATCTTTCCTATTCATGATCTTTAGGTTGGATTTGGCGTCAAAGTCTCCAACGATGAGAGTACACCTACTCTGGACGCCCCCTGTCTCACCTACTCTCAATTCAGAAAGGCCCATAATCCCTGTGAGTACTGTCGCGGTCTCGTCATGCTGTCCTGCGTTTACTGAAAGAGGCGTACTCTCTTTCCAGTTCCGTGGCTTCACCACGTTTGGCTTCCTTGCGAAGTTTTCACCCAGCCTGGCCTTCTTCAGTGCCTCCCTGAGAAACGAACATCTCATAGTGCCTACTTCATGTCCCTTCTCGTTGCATATTGGACAGTATTCTCCATTTCCACAGTTCTTGGCCTGATGCTCTCTTTGCCCGCATTCGAAGCAATTGGAGGTTTTGTCTATTCCGGCGCACCTCTTCCATTTAAGCAAAAAGCTCCAACACCTAGTACATCTCATCACATTTATGCGCTTCTCCATTATGCACCGGAGAGGCCCTATCCTGAGCGTTTTTACGTGCATGAGAGTATTCGCTGTCTCTCTCTTTCTTTAATGGCATGAGGATTCTCGTAGTCCCAAGAATGATTGTTGTGGAAATTCATGATGGCATCCCGTGAAAAACTTGCCTCATATGTGAAAAACACAGACGTAAAATTGGGGTTGTTTCCAATTTGTGCAATTCATTATGGAAATAGCTATATTTTCGACACATATTTCTTCAATACACTTTTGAATCATACTTGAATGTTTAATTTATTACATAATGGTTGGTGAATAACTTTTTCACATTGAAATAAATTACCGGTAGTACCTCAATATCTTCAATAAACATCAAATACATAAATTATACAAAATAAATATTTGAGATCAAGCAGTATAGATATAAAAAATTTAAACATCAACAAATGTTAGAAGGGATAACATATTACAAAAAAATAATATATAAAATGTAAATGGAATATGTTTTATTACAGGTAATTTCGCAAATATCTGTACTTTATTTTCAATTTGAAAATTATTTTCATAGTGCATAAATTGTATATGTTCATAGACACATCCTAGAGAAATGTGACAACTAAATACAAATTTCGTGATTTATGAAAATGACACAAGCTATTATTGAAGAGAAGGCATGGCATAGGTCTATGAGAATAATTTGACAGCAAACAGCAGACAGTATAAATTATGTCATATCACTAGCAATATTTTGTTCATAATGGAAATAGCTCCATAAAGTAATGCACATAATATAAATAGTTAATAGAAACAAATGAAAAAAATGACCGATCGATCTCGTACATTAACAATATCAACAGGAGGAGGTAACGGTAAAATATTATCTGCTTGTAGAACTGAATTAATACACGAAGGTAATGTCACCCAATATATATTAATTTATTCAGTCTAACGTTTGTGGCGAGTGTCTACATCTAGAACAATGAAGACAGGGGCGGCTCGAACGTTGTCGGGCTGCTACATGCTCTGTTAAAATTATAGAATGGAACATTTGTATGGACAACATGCAATCTCTCGTTCATTCCAGGAACATGCACAGGGGGAGGAAAATTTGATATAATAATGATGGGTCCATGAAATTTAATCAGTTCAGCAGGTTGATGCTTAATATATTTAGTAGCATATTGACCTTCTAACAATTTTTCAAACAACCGTTATCTATATTAACATTATGAGGTTCGAATTCATCAAAAACAATGAATTTATGATACTTGGGATTGAAATTTTCTAAATAAAATTTGTCATTACAGGTAGTGTGGAATGTACGTCTACACATTTCCTTCGTGAATGTCGACTCATATCGTATCACTGAAGTTTTTCCTACATCAGCTGGACTCCACAGATACAATTGAGGACATTTATGTTCAAGTGGATGAGAGATGAAATCATTAAACCACATCATAACCACAGTTTATTGCTTACAGAATCAGTTCGCTTACTCTGTGTCGGCGCTTTTGATCTTCATGGTAATCTTTTTCTACTGCGCACCTTGAATTTGTTTCCCACGCGCATGACAGCCATGAAGAGTTATACAATGCTCGACAGAAAATCGTATACACTGCTGAACATAATAAAACCCTATGACGCTGTGATGGCGCAGGTATAAGCCGCCACCTAATTTTTTAATCTGTTATTTAACTATCTCTGAAAATGTGTATAAATAAAGGACAAACGGAATAAGTTCTATTAGAGTTGAACGTACTTGAGAATCAAAAAATCCAAATAACTAGGAATAAATGTTTCAGTTGTAACCACATGACAAAGACACAGTTGATAATTATTTGTTGAACTGATTCAAAATATTTGTGATATATGATGGAATTGGATGGAAATTTTGCAGGAAAATTGAAAATACAATAATTTTCATCACAATTATATATTAACATGAATATGAAAATAAGGTGGACATGTGCATAGTCTATACTACAAAACATACAAAAATAAAATACACAACTAGGTAAAAAGACTGTCTGTAAGTTAATCGAGGATGTGGCATAATCTATGGATTCATTATTCCAGATTTTTTGGGATTTTCTCTCCTCGTTTCTATAAAATAAAAATATGAGTATTGTTTCAATTTACGTGTAGTGAGGACAAATCAGATGATTTGCCTCAAAATGTCACTTCTTTAAAAAAATTCTCCTATCAAACAAGATTGAATTAGGCTCTGACATTTTGGGGCAAATCTTGTGATTTGTCCTCACTACACGTATATTGAAACAATACTCATATTTTGATTTTATAGAACGAGGAGAGAAACTCACAAAAAAATCTGGGATAATGGACAACTAGCTATGTTTCAGAATTCTCAATTTCAGGTTGGGCTTTCTCTCTTTGATACCAGTTTTCAGATCTAGATTGAGGAATTTAATTGTATAATAAGTCCTCACTCTAATGAATAATGATATCATATATTCTAGGGGAAAATTTTCACAAGGCTTATTGAATTGAATTTTCGAAAGAGACTCTTTCAGATTATTCCCAATTCCCTGTTTAATTGATAAACTTGGAAAAAGTTCACTAAAAGAGTTCTCAAGGGCATGAATGTATGTTAAAAAATTCATGTTTGGCATTTGCAGGTTGCCAAATGTATCATTACTGGCATTTGGATATGCCCTGAAAGAACTGTGAATAGTGGACTCATCCAACTCAGCTACATCTTTTCCAAATTTGAAGCATGCATCACACTGGTGTTTATCCAATATTTTTTTGATGAAATAACCCCCGACATACACAAAACCATTTTTTTCAGTTATATTCATTTGGGTATAGTCCCTTGTTGTAATATCACTGAGAGTTTTGAAGGGTGATTGTTCTGCTAATAAAATCTGACAGCTTTGAACAACTTCCGGTGTGATACTTGCCAAGATTTTATCAAATTCGTCTAGGCAGTTTGTTCCCTCGGAATTGTCCAGATAAGTAATTCCAAACATTTTTTTGAAAGCTCTCTGAAATTGAATCGGTGTAGGATTTCTACAGTTTCCACTTTGCTGTCTTATTTTGCCAAAGAAATTCTCGAGACAGTCTTGATTCAGTCTCCTTGTATGAATTTTATGAATTTTTTTAGCCTTCAAAACTCAACACAAACCCAAAAAAGCAGAAATTGACAATCTCCAGCCAAAATTAAATTTCATTCTTTTTGTAACATCCTTAGTGCCATTCATAATTACCAATGTTTCAAAGAATCCTAACATATCTTTCAAGAATTTAATCTGTGTTTCTGTCCCCATAAAAGGCCTATTGAAAGATTTTGCTTTGTGTTGAATTTAGAGGAATTGAATATGTCAAACAGATTGTCAATTTTTTCAATAAATTCGACAGTTTTTGAAGCTGCTGAAGGAAGTTTATTAAATGATATGTAAGCATTCATTGCTGCTGAAACAGAGGCACTGAAAACTTGTGCTGCATATTTGACTTTCATTTTTTGAAAATTATTTGGAAAAATGTCCATATCTGTGAGTTTGGGAGCTAAACGGAATTTTTCTTTTTTATCTGATGCATAAAATATTCCTAAGTATTTTTTATCAGTCATGCCATCTCCAAATTTGAAATTATAACTGAAAAAATTATTTCGTGTTGACTTCAGTAAATGAGGTATGTCTACCATGTAAAATACTCTCATATTATCACACATAAAGTAAGGTTTTTCAACTGATACCCCTAAGTCTCTCATTAATTTGAAAAAATTACTTCCATGATCTGATATGATTGATAGAACATTGAGTCCTATTATAGTCTTCAATTTTCTTATGGTGTCAAAAATAATTTCCTTCAGATCTTCAACAGGACAACTAGAATTAACAAAAAAATATGCTAGAGGCTGTTTCCAGTTTCCGTGGATACCTCTGGCCATCAACACCAAAACATTTTGGGCTGGCTGAAATGTTTTTTCTGATGGAGTTCGATGGAATCCAATTATTTCATCCTGGGATAAATTATAATATAGATGTGTCTTCAAAGACATTTCATCTAAGCATAAAGTACAGTCTCTTGTGTCATTGTCCAACATAGATACTTTTATTTTTAGAGCCTCAAACAAAAATTGGCTGAAACCTGGTCTGATATTCCATTTCGCAGTTATCTTCTGAAGAGTACTTCTTGAAGGTAATCTAAACATCTTCGAAAGAAACTTATAAGCTTTTGGACCCAAGAAATGAACAGTTAATGCAAACTGCTTATATTCGTTCGAGTATCTAGAACCTTTTGGAGATTTTGTGGCCAATGTCAGTTGTGTTTTTAAAAAGTTCGAAAGATTTGGTGACACATGCTTTTCTAAGAATTTACATATATTCTCTATATTCATTCCTTCTGATGTAGGAATAGGCTTTCTAGAAGATTCCTGAGAAGTACACAATCTCCTTTTGAGGTTTTTTATGGTTTTTCTCATTTCCATTTTCCTAGGAGTTCCATGAGTCGAAGACTTAGGTGTTTGAATTTCTGAAAAGAAAATATGCCTTTTTTCATTTGTGAAGTTATCTCACTTAAATGAATAATAATTGATGAATGATAAATGTATTGATTAGAAAATTCTTCTCATGTGAAAATAAATACTCGAAAAAGTAATATTCTCAAGACATACTTTTGGATTGATGGTCTTCTTGGCTTATGCTCATTTCGGGTTTCCTAGAAGTAGTAGGACTATGAAGTTTTTTTTCATTTGTTTGTGTAACTAAAAATAAAAGTTGAAGTTATGGGTTCCTTGTTTCGAGAACTAATATGAGTGAATGATGTATCGGCGAAAAGGTACCTACCATTGAATTCATTGCTCTTATATCCATGAGAAGTAGTTGCTGACTCTAGTACATCTTCCAGCTCAACTGGATTTGAGGATACAGATGGTCCTGTAAGTACAGTTTCATTATCAGTATCACTTCATTCACCAGGAAAACATATAAAATTTCAATCAATAAAAAACATAGGATCTAAATATGCAAAATACAATGTAAATTCCTCACTATTGGATACTAAGGAAGTTACAAAGAACAACATACCTTCTAATAACTCAACTGGTATCACAGGTGCTACCGAGGGTGCTACTGCTGCTGGTTGTATAGGTATAGCACTTTTTTTCAGCCGATTTTTTTGCATACTTGCAAACATCTTTTCATCAAAATGGAAACTACAGATTCTGAAGTGGTCATAGCAGTATTGAGAGCTATAAGAAGCTATTTTTTCCAGTTGTAGAATAGCTTTCCATTCTGCGAACCTAGAAACATACCTTCAATTAGTATTTATTACTTCAAAATTAGAGTATCTCATTATTCACCTTCTTTCATCTTTTGGAAACCTGAAGAAAGATATGTTTTTTTCATGTCTGGAATTTTTATTGCATACACAACAGTATTGCACAGTTTTGGAAACTTCAGCCATGGTTGATGGTAAAGACACAAATTATATCAGTTCACAGTATCCAATAAACAAACTCAAATCCTCAAAAAATACACAAAAACGATCACAAAAGATTAATAACACCAGAAAATCACACGAGATATCCAAGAAATAACAAAGACTTTGAGGTTACGGTCGTCTCTTCCCAGTGTTGCCATATGATTTTGAATATTATGTTGTCAATCTTGGGAAACGCATTTTAGTAATATTGAGACTCATAATGATGTAAGTTTTTGTTTTTTTTATCGTGAAAACCAATGAATTGATACTTTTTCAAAATTAGATTAGGAGATTCTGAAAATAATTGATTAATTTAGATGTGATGATAGGCACATATTAGTAGTGAATGTGAGTTTATGCTTAGAACAATTAATAATATTGGTATGCCTAAATGTCCGGTAGTTGATTATTAACCTTCAGTCGACCAGAAAGATAACGTTTTTTTGAAAATCCATTTTTGAGAGAGAAACATATGAATCCAGCTTGGGAGACTTGAATACATATTCCAATATAAGACAACAGTGTAAAATACGCAACGAATCTTCTGCGCATCCACAATTTGTTTCCCAGGAGTGGATGTGAAATATGACCATTGAATTTGACAGAGTAAGCGAACTGATTCTGTAAGCAATAAACTGTGTCATAACTAACAAAACCCATGGACATATTGTCACTACTGAAATAGGTTGATATGGAATATCAACTGTTTGAAACGTCTCATTTGATTCAGTACGTTCATATAATTGTATAAATTTGTGACAAGTTTTAAATTCTGTAACAAAAGGGTGAGTTACAGTGAATGTTTCTTCCCGGGTCTCCTCACAATATAGTTTTGAACGATAGTTAAAATGTAATTTACTTTCAGAACTATTGTATAAGGGGTTTTTATCTTCTTTAGTTATATATTATATCCATTTGGTAGGATTAACGCAAGGTTGAACATCAATACCTGGACGATTGTCATAAATAAATCTAATGAATCGATTGAGTTCATTTACAAAACACTGCGAAGCGTACTTAACATACGCATGAATATGAAAAATTCTACCTTCGAATAATGCTGTTGGACACTTATATTTTTCTGTTGCAATAACATGGATATTCAATGTTTGTTCTACTGGAACACCATCATTATCATCTATTGCATTGTTTACAGGATTAGGATTTACTGGCGCTTCGAATGGTGCAAAATAGAAATTTTGATCGTGTGGAAACTCCACTGGACCTTCCATATGGTTAGCCAAACCAGGAAATCTACGGACAGCATTTAAAAATTGAAGTTTCGATTCCTCACGATCAACATCTCCAAATGGCACGGTGATAATGTAATCGTTGAGATTCATACGACCATTACCACGACGTCTCCTACCTCCCGCTTGAGGACCATTTCCTCCTCCTCCTTCTCCTCCTCCACCTCCCCCTCCCCCTCCTCCTCCTCCTCCTCCTCCTCCTCCTCCTCCTCCTCCTCCACTTCGTGTGTTTTTGTGATTTGTGATACGGAGCTCCTTTTCATGAAAGTATATTTTGAATTTTGTTTCCAGTGGTGTGGCAGAGGGTAACCTGATTGATATTCAAACTGCTAGTTCATTTATATTTTATTCGGAAAACAGCATAGGAAATAATGAACAATAATTGAAGCAAATGCTCAAAATGGGAACCTCGACTTGCAATACAAGCATCTAGTCTCCTTCGCATTGACTGCCGCACACGTTCAAAAATACCTGGGGTGTTGCGTATGACATTAGAAGTATTCATAATTCTATTCCTCAAGTCATTTTCATCGACAACTGGTTTCGCATAAACAAGAGATTCAAGATATCCCCAAAAGAAATAATCCAGAGGGTTCAAGTCTGGAGATCTTGGTGGCCACGGTTGAGGCCCGTCACGACCCATCCACTGGTGAGCAAAAGTATCATCGAAATATTCAACTGAAGTGAGCCGATGCCCTGTCGTGCATGAACCACATATTTCGCCTCACTAGCAAATGTACATCCTGTAACATTTCTGGTGATGTGTCTTCTAGAAATTGTCTGTACCTTACACAATTGAGTCGAGGAGGAAGAAAATTCGGCCCTATTAGATGATCGCCACAAAGTCCCACCCAGACGTTCACCGAAAACTGTTGCTGAAACCCATTTTCTACAATGGCATGAGGATTCTCGTAGTCCCAAGAATGATTGTTGTGGAAATTTATGATGGCATCCCGTGAAAAACTTGCCTCATATGTGAAAAACACAGACGTAAAATTGGGATTGTTTCCAATTTGTTGACGAAACCACTCACAAAACTCCAATCGTCCGGGAAAATCTCTTGATAACAGTGCCTTCTTCCGTTGCTTGTGGTATGGATACAATGAATTCGTATGCAGAACCTTCAAAACACTTTTATGACTGACATGTAAGGCTAATTTTCGGGTACTTGTTGAAGAATTTTTGTCAACTTCATGAAGAATTGCTTCCTCTGAATGTGGTGTCTTTATTGTACTCGGTCTACCAGGACGCTCAGCATGTTCAGTTAAAGATCCAGTTCCACACAGTCTAGCATGTAATCTGATGAAAGTTTTTCGTGTTGGAATATCTTTGTTAGGATAGCGTTCTCGATAGAGTCGACGAGCGTCTGCAGCATTTTTATCTGCAAGTCCATAAACAAAATGCATCCCAGCTGATTCGCGGTTGTTCATATTTACTCGATACTTCTATCTGAATCCTGCAAGTTCCTGCCTGTCAAGCAGCCTGCCCCAGCTTTGGAGCCCTGTTTCACACATCAGCTGTCCAGGAATGTTGAAGGCCCCGCTGTTCCTCTAGGACCGCCAGGACACGTGACAAAACGGCCCGCATTGTCCCATCCAGGCACTGGCCCCATGAGACTCCTGGGACGTCGTGCTGCTCTCATTTCCGCCGCTTGCTGTGTGGCTCTCATTTTTGTTGCTGTTTGCTGTTTGGATACTTGACAGCTTACTTGACAACCTATAAACATCATGTAAACAATCAAGAATTTCGTACAACCTGTGACGTGGGTAAATCATTCAATGTAATTTCGGTAATAATGTCAGTTATTTCAACCTTGTCGGGTTTGAGATGTAATTATTTCAAAAGTACATAACTTTTAAAAAATGTCTAAAGGTTAATCGAGGAGGTGCCATAAACATTTTTTTCATCCCTCATTCTGATACAAAATCCGGAACGTTTGAAAATAAAAAAGGAGTGAAAAAAATAACAGAGAAGCTATTATACTAATTATCAACCCCTCATTTCTACGTCACTGACTTTGGCTGCATAAAGTTCAGCTTTCCAATAATATCAAACTCAGCGGCAATATCAATCAGGTCACCCTCTGACACACCACTGAAAACAAAATTCAAAATCTACTCTCATGAAAAGAAGCTTACAAATCACAAACAAACGATGTTTAATTAAAATCGGCGAACAGTATTTTGTGTAATTCATGAAAAGCCGATATTTCATTGAAGTTTGGACACCCCGTTACTTGTAAACAGAGCAAGTTAGGACTCACGTTTATATGAACTTTTTGGAATGAAATATGATAAGGAATCATCACCTGGAATTGGAGTCATCATTTAAGATACACCCTGTATTTCGTCTGGCCAGTCCCTGTCTAGCAGTTCAGTTGCGCTTCCGAACGTGTTAGCTGTATCCAGGTTTTTGGGTTCTACTATACCCATTTGTGTGCCTGGCTCCCTCATTCCGGGTAGTTCGGTTTGCTATCAGCAATCACCTTTGATGTCTGATTGTCGTTCCCCGCCTGTTCCTCTTGTCCTACCCACTCTTCAAATCTCCTGAAGAAGGTTTCAATCAGCCGTCCCATTTCCTTGGAGGTTTTTCAATTTCTAATTTCATGTTAACGTAATTTGCTACTAGTTTGCTTAGCTCTTTGCTGTTCTGCTTCATTTTTTGGGCCATCGCTTTCACCTGTAGTAGTTCTTCTGATACATCTACTGCATGGCTCTCCATTCGTTTCCTATTCAGTAGTTGGATAAAAGGACTAGTCTCAATGTCTTCGTCTTGATATTCATCGTTCTCGCATTGCGGCGTGATTGGAGGGGGGGTTTTTGGTATCAAGTCCCAGCTTCCGAAAACGTTTACCTCTTGGTCACTTACAGTCGGGATAGCAGGTTCCGTGAGTACTTCTCTTCGCGCTGCAGGTGGTGTTCTCCTCATTGCGTCGCTTCTTTTGAAGATGTTCGTCTCCTTTCCATAGACCCCTTTGCTCGGTTCTTCTGATCCGCTGTCTTCTTCCAACTCCGCTACCTCTTCTAATAGGTTGAATATGTTTCGTTTTCTTGTTTGCTCATATCTGTTTCCACGATCAGCAAGGAAATTTTGGTCCATCTCTGCAGAGCCCCGCTTGCAGAGTATAACATGAAAATTGGCCATTTCCATTGTTAGTAGCAATACCTACCCTACCATCGTTCAGTATACGTCGAAAGTCTTTAAACAACAAATATATGAACTAAGTGATTACTTTATTCCAAAATAATTACATAGCATTGGGTGTTCTTTAGCAGACCACTCTGTACCTAATCTTGACCAGGGACTTCAGGTTCCAGGTTCTTCCGTTTGGCATCCAGTTTAGGTTCCTGAAACAGAATTAAAATGTATTATTTGCAAACTGACTAAGATATTGGACATCCACTATAAATTTCTATTTGTATTGTTGATACTCACCTTTGACAATTATGCCTTAAATGGGTTATCTATTTTTGTGGTTCTGGTATTGCAGATATTTTTCAACAGTCGTTTGTGGAATTCTTAATTCTCTTATTTTTATTCAATATTTACATTCATAGGAAAAGGTAATAATAGGTCATTAGCATAATAGTTGCGTTTTATTCGTTCCATTCTGGTAGCGGTGGTGGGAACAGAATGACGTTTACAAATAAAACGAGAAACTTCATGATCTTGCATGAGAGAATTTACATAAGAGGTTATATTTGTATATGGGGGATCCAAATAATTTAAGGG